TTTTTTTTTTTTTTGCAGATGGACTCCCCACGACACCCGACACCCACCCACCCGAAAACCGCGGTCGACCCCCCCCGAAAAGACCGCGAAAGGACGTACGAAAGTCCGTATGTACGGCCCGTACGGGCCGCCGGGGCCCCGTACGTACGGTCGTACGAAATTCGTACGGCTCGTATACGTACGGGCGTACACACAGAAGGTGATTGATCGACCCCCCTGGGAACCAATCGATCAATCAACCAATGATTCAATCAATCAATCAACCAATCAAGTCATCAATGAATCCAAGGTGATTGATCGATTGATGGATTGAGTGAGTGAGTGAGTGATCAACCCTTCGGATCAGGGTTACGTTTGGAAAGCATCCCCAGGGGGGTGGGAGAAAAACCTTTTGATTACAAAAGGTCGGGGAGCGTCGTGATCGAGGGTCGGGAGGATCGGGGTTAGGGTCCATCAATCTCTGAAGTACGGAAAAAAAAAAAAAAAAAAAAAAAATCAATCAATGAATCAATTAATCAACCAATCGGTTAAATTAATCGATTCATTGAGTGATTAATTGATCGATTGATCGATCCATTGATTGAAACATTCAAAGATTCGGAGGAATCGAAACGGAAAGTATGGGCCGGAGAAAAGAAGAAGTAGAAGAAGAAGAAGAAGGAGAAGAAAAAAAAAAATCGCTTTCACCACGCGTGAGTGTGTGTGTGTATGTGTGTTTGTGTCTGTGTCTGTGTGCACGCACACGGGAGGCGACCCCCCCGACAACCAATCAATCGATCAACCAACCAATCAATCAATCAACCAATCACCGGGGTTAGGGTCGGCCGTTTGTGTGTGTGTATGTGTCACAAATGTGTGCATCTTTCCATGGTCTAGTCATCCTTGGGACCAGGGTCGGGAAGATCAGGCTTAGGGTCGGCCGATTTCCGAAGTACGACAAAAAAAAAATGCGAAAATAATCAATCAATCAATCAATCGATTAAATTAATCATTTCATTAAGTCTTTAATTGATCAATCGATCGATTGATTGATTGATTGAAAGATTCAAATATTCCAAGGCATCAATCAATCAATCAATCAATTGATTAAATGAATTGATCAATCAATCAATCAATCAATCGATTGATTGCTCGATTGATTGATTGATTATGTCTGCAGCAAAGGATCCGGCTAGAGGAACTGGTAGCTCTCCCTCTTTCGCTCTCAATCGATCAGTCAATCAATCAATCAATCAATCAACTCATCATTTGATCTATCAAGTTTGTTTGATTGATTGATTGATCGATTGTTTGATTGAATGACTCAGTCATCAACCCTTCCAATCAGGGTTGTGGTTGGAAAGCATCCGTATCGGGGTGGGGGTACAACATTTTTTTATTACAGAACGTCAGGATCGGCGTCGGGATCAGCGTCGGGATCAGCGTCGGAATCGGGGTCGGGAGAGCGAGTATCGGGGTAGGGAGAGAGGGGATTGGGGTCGGGAGAGAAGGGGATCGCGATCGGGGTTGCGAGAGAGGGATTGGGATCGGCGGTTACCATTTGATTGATTGACTGATTTGTTGGTTGATTGATCGATCAATCAATCAATCATTGGTTGATTGATCGACTGATTGATTGATTGAGTCAGTCATCAACCCTTCCGATCAGGGTTGCGGTTGGAAAGCATCCGGAGTGGGGTGGGGGCACAACCTTTTTTATTACAGAAGGTCGGGATCGTCGTCGGGATCGTCGTCGGGATCGGCGTCGGGATCGGCGTCAGGATCGGCGTCGGGATCGGCGTCGGGATCGGCGTCGGGATCGGGGTCGGGAGAGAGAGGATCGAGATTGGGAATAGGGGTCGGAAGAGAGGGGATGGAGAGAAGGGGATCGCGATCCGGGTCGGGATAAAGGGGATCGGGGTCGGCCGTTGCCATTTGATTGATTGATTGATCAGCGGAGGCAAGGTTCCCGGTTCGCGATCCATCTACCTTCAAGTATCGCCTTGACGACCACACATGCGCATTCCAATACGTGTGATTGATCGATTGATTCCAACACGTGCGCGATCCATCTACCTTCAGGTATCATCTTGACGACCACACGCCTGTGCACGCAGACGATTGGGATCAAGCTCGGGGAGGTCGTGGATCGGGGTTGGGCAGGGTTTTCCAATTACGAAAAAAAACGTAAAGAAAAAAAGAAAAAAAAGCGAACAAAAAAAAGAACATGTGGCGGTTTGCCACGTTACCAATCAATCAATCAATCAGTCAATCAATCGTTAATTGATTGATTGGTTGATTGATCGATTGAAAGAAATAGCGGACATGGCGAAAAAGCACGTGGGGTCTGCGAGAATAGCCTACCGTACGTGGCACCACCACGAAGGCTGAGCACGTACGTGGCACTACAACGTTTGTGCACACAGAGGATTGGGATCAAGCTCGGGGGGTTTGGGGATCGGGGTCGAGCAGAGTTTTTCAATTACGAAAAAAAAGCGTAAGAAAAGGAAAAAAAGTGAAGGGAAAAAAAAAAACACGTGGCAAAACCGCCACGTTACCAATCAATCAATCAATCAATCAATCAATCAATCCTTAATAATTGATTGATTTGTTGATTGATTGATTCAAAGAAACAGGCGCGAAAAAGCGGGCGTGGCAAAAAGGCAAAAAAAAAACGCGGTGGGGGAAGGGACGACCCGTCTCCCACCAATCAATCAATCAAGCAAGCAATCAGTCAATCAATCAGTCAATCAATCAATTTATCGCAAATAATCAATCAATCAATCAAATGCGTTTTCAAGTCGGATCGAGTCGGGATCGCTCTCTCCCTCTCTTTCTCTCTCTTTCTCTCTTTCTCTCTCTCACTCTGTCGCTCTTTCTCTTTCTCTTTATCTTTCTCTCTCTCTCTCCCTCTCTCTCCCTCTCTCTCTCTCTCAATCTATCAATCAGTCAATCCTTAATTGATTAATTGGTCGAGTCGGGACCGCTCTCTCTCTCTTAATTAATCGAGTCAGTATCGCTCTCTCTCTCTCTCTCTTTCTCTCTCTTTCTCTCTTTCTCTCTCTCACTCTCTCGCTCTTTCTCTCTCTCTCTCTCTCTCTTTCTCTCTCTTTCACTCTCTCTTTCTCTCTCTCTCTCTCAATCTATCAATCAACAATCAATCAATCAATAAAAAAAGGGGGGGGACGGGGGGAGGAGGCATGGGAATCAATCAATCAATCAATCAATCAATCAATCAATCAATCAATCAATCAATCAATCAATCAATCAATCAATCAATCAATCAATCAATCAATCAATCAAGTCTGCATGTGGTTTTGTTTCGAATTGTGTGTGTGTGTTTGTGTGCATGGATACTTCAGCGGATCGGTCCCGGGGTTCCTCTCCTCCCCCCCTTTAAGAGAAAGAGCGCTTTCGCTGCACGTGCGTATGTGTGTGTGTGTGTGTGTGTGCACGCGCACGGGAGGCAACCAATCAATCAATCAACCAATCAATCAAGTCGGGGAATCTCTCTCTCTCTCTCTCTCTCTCTCTCTCTCTCTCTCA